GTTGAATATCTGTGGAAAGCAGCGCTAAACAATCGTTTGTTCCTTTGCTCTTGCGGAACCCAAACTGTGTATTTGATAGTAAGTTATTTGTTTCGACCCACTGATCGAGTCTCCGAAGGATCATTTTCTCCAACAATTTCCTAATGCACGAAAGCATCGCAATCGGACGGTATGAGTTATGGTCAGACGCTGGTTTGCCAGGTTTTCGAATGGCTATTACTTTGACCTGTCTCCATTCAGGCGGTATAATGTTGTTTTCTAGTAAGGAATTGAATAAGTCTAGCAAGCGTCTTTTAGCGATATCTGGGAGATTTTTCAGAAGATTAAATTTAATTATATCGCTTCCCGGTGAGGAGTTGTTCGATGAAAGAAGAGCCATAGAGTATTCCAGCATTGTGAATGGTCTATCCAGAGAGCTGCCGCTCGGAGACGCTTCTCGAAGAATGTGTTGTGCTGGAGCTGAGTCCGGAAAGACCTTTTTAGCGAAATCGAATATCCATCGGTTGGAGTATTCTTCACTCTCATTAGAAGATGAGCGGTTACGCATGTTCCGAGCCACCCTCCACAAGGTGTTCATTGAGGTTTCTCGTGAGAGTCCCTCGACGAAATTGCGCCAATAACCGCGTTTCTTTTCTTTGACTAATTGTTTCAGCTTTGTCTCAAGCTTTGAATATTCCTCGAAGTATGTGGAGGTTTTGTGTCTACGAAAAGCTTTGAAAGCATCAGATTTTTCTACATACAATTTTGTGCATTCTTCGTCCCATCCAGGTGTGGCTGGTCTTCTTTTGAAGGGCGCACTTGGAACTTTTCTTTTTTGTGCTTCCAGTGAGCTTTTGTATATCAAATCGGCGAGGAATCGATATTCTTCCAATGGTGGAAGCGTATCTATTGATTCGGCACCGATTGTCACCGCCGTTGCATATTTCGGCCAGTCGATCAAATGGAACTCGAGATGGTTCTACAGAGTGAGGGGCACACTTAATTGAAATGATGATTGGCAAATGATCGCTACCATGGGGATCATTGATAACCTTCCACAGACAATCCAATGATAGCGATCTAGAACACAAAGATAGGTCGAGTCGGCTTTCTCGAGCCGGAGGTTTTGCTATACGTGTCGCTTCACCAGTGTTTAAAATAGTCAAGTTGAAATCGTCGCATAAATCGTAAAAAATAGCCGCTCTATTGTCGTCATATAGATCGCCCCACCCAGTACCATGGGAGTTCATATCACCCAGAATTAATACTGGAGATGGAAGAATCGAGACAAGATTCCAGAGTTGACTACGGCTAATGGAGGTTCTTGGTGGAACATAAACTGAAGCTATGCAAAGATTTTTGTTCTTCACATTTATTTGGCAAGCGACGATTTCGACGCCTGATAGAGCAGGAAGGGAAATTTTGTAGAAAGGGTAGCACTTTTTGATCCCTAAAAGTACTCCTCCATAAGAATCGTCTCTATCCAGGCGAATAATGTTAAAATCGTGGAAGTTGAGTTCTTTATCGGAAGAAAGCCATGTTTCACAGAGAGCAAATATATCACAATCAGAATTGTGAAGTAAAAATTTGAACGAGTCTAGCTTAGGCACTAGACTACGGCAGTTCCACTGTAGCACAGTGATCATATCTTCAACCTCGTTCGACGAATTATCCATCGAAAGATATGATTGATGCAAGGAGGGGCCATGAAACAGTCAATTGCTTAAGATATGATTCTAGTGTTGGAAGCAAGGCAGAAACTAAGCTTCTAAGAGGGTCTTGTATGTTGAACATATTTAATATGAATTCCACAATGTCCGAAAAAGCTAGCAAACCTCGTTCGGACTTGGATTTCTTTTGAGAAGTTTGAGGAGCAGCTTTTTTGTTTTTCTTATCTTTGTTGGGTAATGGCGGAAAATCCTTACTGCAGCCAGGAAGTGGAGCAGTGGGAGCCTTCGATTTAATTTTTTCATCCCCATTACCCTGGGAATTTTGCAATCCTCTGGGAGTGACTTTAGTGTACCACCGTAGAGTCACCCTCATCGGATGAGTCAGAGTCCGATTCTTCAGCTGACAAAATCGAAAATTGGTTTTCATCTTGGACGGCTGATGCAGCCTTCACCATTTGTGCATATGACTGCTTGGAGCGTCCAGAGATTGAACGCTGCACTTTATCGGAGTGCCACAATATGCGCATTTTACTGTTTCTTTGTGGCAAGAATCCTCTTTGTGGTTTTCACCACATTTGCCACAACGAGTTTTGTTGCCGCAATGGCTGGCCGAGAGTCCCAGCCTTTTGCAGTTGGTACAATTATATACCCTCTGTACAAACAACCGCACCGGAAAAAAAGCACCATCAACTTTAACAAAGTTTGGGAGAACTGAACCAGACTCGCGTCGGAGACCACACCTTCTATCTCCACATCTCGAGAAGGGATGTAGATGTTGTACTCGACACTAAACAGCTCGTGTTCAGTCATTTTATTTGCCACATCATAAGTCGGTGCTTCTACACGCAGTTTATTGAATCTCTCTTTATGTACCAAGATTCCCGGATACTTACGCAGCAAATCTCTCGAAATGTCGAGAGTTTTCAAAGGTTTATTTTTGGGCCGAAAAAAGACAACCCATGGTCCTTTCGAAGACGGCTGGTAGTACCTGGTTCGCGCAACGTAGACATCCGAAGACGCCATAAGTGTAGCGCAAAAGCGGTGCACAACCGCTTAAAAAGGAAAAAAATATATAAAAAAAAACCTTCACCAATTAATCTACTTAACTACTAGTTGTTAATATTTTGTTGCCCAGTGTATTAACAACAAAAAAAAAACAATAAAGAAATTATCAAAAAAAAAAAAAAAAAAAACAAAAAAAAACTTTTTATTAGTTGCAAGAAGTTGCACCACTATAGCCCTCACAACCCTATCAGGGGAGAGGGCAAAGCCACGCGCAAAATTGAATAACAAAAGCGCGGCAATGGGCTAGAGAAGACTATTGTATAGTAGGTATACTTAACACCGGCCGGTGCCGGCTGTGTGAGCTGGTGCAGCCACTTCGTTTGCTGCTTTGTTGTTGTTGCTTGCTGCTTTGGAGTGGTGATGAGATGATGACGGTGAGATGATAGTCCACCTATAGCGTCGCTAAAGGTGGCTACTTCCTCTGCTGACTGCGGTTGCCTTGGGCACTGAACTTCGTCCACGGTAGGAATAACGCGCGATATAAAAAACCACTGTGGTGGGAAAAAAAACTCCACCGGCTACGAAACCAATACCCGCAACGGAGACACGAACAAACTACGTCCGGCTACTTCAAGCTATCGGCGAGGAATGCGAGACTCTTTGATTTTATATGAATTCCATGAAGTTTTTAAGATCTAGATCATCACGTATTGTAGAGCAATTCTGCTGGCAAAAGTATATGATTATCTCTAAACGCTTAATTTTGAACGTCTTTTTTGTATAAAGCAGAGGTGATTTTTGAGTTGAGGTTTTTTTTTAAATAACCGGGAAAAAACCGGGAATTGAAAAATTGGATTTGAATGGACACCCTGTAATCAGAGATTGGCCACTGTTCCAAGAGCATCCGGAACCTATTCCAGCGATTTTTTTTTAACTAGTTCGTTTATTTACTAGGCTCAGTCGTGAGTGACACTTTGCGGAGCCAGTGAGCCAGTAAATCTACACGAAACGAAAATCAATTATTTTATTCATGTGTTTCACTTATACATTTTTGCCAAAACATCAGCCTTATACATTCCATAAGACAAACCACATAGGTCCTATAAGAAAGCATAGAAGTTATGTGTGACCGCTTATACATTTCATTTGAAACATGATCTTCATTAATTTTTTGCAAGGCGTCTGCTTATTATTTGACTTATACATTTTATGAATAATCAGTAATAGAAATTTGCCAAAAGGTATAAGGAGATTTCTATTCGTGTAGGTTAGTATTGGGTATCAATTACTCGTGGCGGGCTCAAAGTTAATGGGTAACAATTTTGATTGGAGGGGGACGGTTGATCTTCTTACTTTACTTCAATGACGTGAATTTAGTTATCGAAGGTCCACGGCTATCGTATGCAGACGATCTCAAAATCTACTCACGGATCCGTTCGATCGATGATTGTAAATTCCTCCAACGTCAGTTTGAAGCTTTTGACAGCCGGTGCCGAACCGAATGACGGTGAATCCTGCGAAGTGTTCAGTCATCACCTTTACTCGAAAGAAAGAACTAGTTAATTTCCTCTATGCTCTCCGGGACACCATTTTTAAACGTGTGAGTCATGTAAAATATCTAGGTGTCATCTTGGACTTTCAATTCCTCCGTCCTCCGTCGTAGACAAGTCATCAATCATTGCTCCCTGGTACGCTCCATTATGGCATATTGTTCAGTGGTTTGCAGTTCGAACTACAACCATTGTACTGAGAAAGTCGAGTCTTTAACGCCGCTTTCTGTGATACGCTTTGAGAATGTTACCTTTGAGAGACCCGTTTCATTTGCTCAGCTATGAAAGTCGCTGCCAGCTGATTGACTTTGAGCCTCTTCGTACCAGAAGAGATACTTCAAAAACCCTGCTTGTCGCGGACACGTGACATGGCAGAATTGATTGCACCGAAATCTTGGAGCAAGTAAACATTAATGTACCTTACACGTGTACCCCGTCGCCCACATGGAGGTTAATCAAACGGAAAACTCTAAGCGACTTTCAAATAGAATGTGATTAATAGTGACTTATTAACCTGAGTAACTTATTAATTCTTTCCCGCCCAAAGTGTTTTGCCATAATCAACTTTAAAAAAAAAAACCACTATCTCTGGAGTGTCTTGAGATATTGGCCTGGATTTTCTTCTGATAATAGAAGAGCTAATACAGACTATGTGATAATATTTTTACAAAAATCGTTTGTAATTTCAGAAAGTTATAGCTCATGGGCGGGAAAGAATTAAAAAAAATACATGTTTTCTTCAAAATTCACAACTCAAATAATACCGTAACTAATGCAACTGTTATTTCTTCCCTAGCTATCTCCCAAGCAGTCTCCACCGAATGTGGCTCCTCCTCCGCCGCCTCCACCTCCACCGCTACTGGATGGCCCACTGAGTCCCTCGAAACCTCCGATGGCCAACGGCGACGTCATGATCGGCGGCGGCATGCCCAACGGCACCATCATCATGGGTCAAAAGCAACAGCTGAAGAAGATTCCACCCCAGGAAAAGATCGCCTACGAAGACCCCCGGTCCGATCTGATGAAGGCTATTCGAGACGGTGAGTATTATTGCGAGTTCTGGAGTGACGCAAGGGCCCAAGCTAAGGTTATTTGTCGTTGTTGTTGTTGTTGTTGTAGGAATCAAACTGCGCAAGGTGGAACAACGGAACGACGCCAAGGAGAACGACCGAACCATCGAGCGATTGCACGATGTGGCTTCCATTCTGGCGCGGCGCGTTGCCATCGAGCTGAGCGAATCGTCCGATTCGGAGAGTGACGACGACAGCGAGGGTTGGATGGAGAACGAAACGTCCGCATGACAACACGAGAACATGGCCGCGGCGACCGGTACGGCCGTCGCTGCCGGCGGTGGTAAGAAGAAGTGAAGGATAGACTCGCTTGAGAAGTAAGTAAAGAGGAGAGACATAACTCATATTATAGATAGTGGTTCTTCGTTGGTTGGGTTTATCGAACAAGTGTAAATGTACTAGGTAAAGCAAAAAAAAAAAATGAACAGGATACAGATGACGGAAGTTGGTTAGACAACTTTTTTTTTTCTAATTTCGTGTGAAGCTCTTCATTTGATTTGAAGATTGTACGAATAAATGTTTGATTCCAATGGGGTTCGGTTCGTGCATTTTCAAAGAAAAAAAAAAACATTTCTGTTTCGTATCGTTATACTTTCCCACTGAAGGAAAAATGGGCAAATCATGAAACATGGGGAACGACAGTACCGGAGAAGAGTGATAGCCGAAGGGATGTGTAATTTTATTGTAATTATTAAGTTATTTATTTACGGCAAAACGAATTACAAACGGCGGTTATTAGGTTTCTTATTTTTACTATGTGGATGTTTATTTTTGTACATTATTTCAATTCATACATTAGGATAACTCAGCCGCGTGTTGGAGAAAACAAAACGGGAAAGAACATTGAAATGGAAACAAAGAGGGAAAATCAAAATCGATTAAAGTTGATAATGTTAAAAACCCGTAGATATTAGAAGAACTGAGACCCCTTGGCGTAGAATCATTTCATAGAAACTGGTAGTACTCAAAATAAGCAAACCATCTAAACTAAAAAAGAAGCAAAAACATCATCACCATTCATCAAAATTTCGTACTAAATTTAAGCTAAAAAAGAACACCAGCAAAAAATAAACAGATTACCAACTAACCAATAGCCCAGTTTAGCGTTAGAATTTAGAAAGACGGATGAAAATCGGTCAAAGACTCATATGAAGCAAAAAAAAAGTATTCTTTCGTATCGTAAATCCGCGACAAGACAAAACCAGAAAACCCATTCGAAATGGATCGTATTGTAGAAGCTCAAATTTCGGCGAAAATCTTTGCTATCGAATATGTAACTAGAAAAAAAAGAAAACTTTCCTCCTCTCTGCACGCACAGAAATCTAGAGTCCTTTCCTTCCGACTTACTCACTATCCCCTCTTTGTCTGTCTGTTGCAAATCTAGGATAATCAAATTGCTTAAAAGTATCGACATATATTCTTTAACTATTACTTGTGCTTCTGAAACACCAATCGCGGAACAAAACATAGAAAATCTTAAAAAGAGAACGGTGCACACATATTCGAACAAATTTACACGCGCTACCTTTGCCCCCCCTTCTATCGTTGTTTGTGCTGCTTTGCTCTATTTTCTCTTATTCGAAAACAAAAATATAATGCTTCAAAAATTAGACAAAATAAAAGATAAACACGCATCAAATGCTTTGTGAAGAATCAATTCTCGAATGAATATTATTGGAAGACTTACTAACACTATTAAGGGAAGGAGAATCGACGTAAACTTGCCATTTCTTTGTCACCTAAAATCAGCTTCAAACTGCTCGTAATTTCAGTTTCTATCCTTTGTGTATCGTGAAGCAAGTACAGTACTGGCAAACGGCGAGGGTCTTCTTTTCGTTGAACGCGTTGAACTTAGATGAATATGGGTCATTCCAGCTCAAGTGGGTACACCACCTGTGGTTGATGTCACTGATTTGAGCCGAACTTGGCCAAAACGCTTATTTAGGCATTCTGAACAAACGCCTTTTTTTGATTTTGCTCTGAAGTGCCTAGATTCCTGTCGGCTACAACCCTGGATTTTCGAGATTTTTAATAATTTCATCTTTCTGAATGATTACTCCACAACCAAATAAGCTATTCATGATCTTAGAACTCAATTTGAAGGTTTTTATTTATAGATTCTTATAGATGTACCCACATTTTGTTTTTGTTATAGTAACTACAGTAAACAGGCTGATTACCGGCAGGTACCCAACTTACCAAAAAATGGTATATTTACACCATGGGCGGGATTTTTTATTTCTTAAACTTGGAAAACTCTTCTACTTGATGTTTGTCCAAGGGCAACTGATTTGGACAAATAGTTTTTGAGATATGAATCGATGAGTGAGTGGTAGTTTTGAGCTTTTCCTTCTAATTAAAAAAAAAATCTTGAATTCTTCCACGCTTAATGGCACAATAATATTTTTATGTTATTTTTCACTTGTTCTGGGCAGGATTCTCATCATATGAAATCATAACTAGCTCATTTATTTACTTCTGTCCAAAATTTAATTGTGGCCATAAAAGTGGAAAATACGTTCCTATGGGATACAGCCAAAACGTTGTGATTAGAAGTACGATGAAATCAGATACATAAGCAGGTATATTTATAAAAATTCAGTTGTGGAGTAATCTCTTCTGAAAGTTGAAATTTTTAAAAATCTCGAGAATCCAGGATTGTAGCCGAAAAGGATCTAGGCAAGGTTGCAAATAATTAATTAATTAATTTATCTTTATTAGGGAGGCTTTCAGCCTGGGGCTTGTTCGCCTCCAACCAGGTTGCAAATACTCATTTCAGCTAAAACAATGTTTTTTTTATATTATGAAATAATTAGATGCCATGATCATATTTTGAGGTTGCAATGAATGTGTTTGACATATTAAACCTGTTTATTTCACTTCATGAGAGTCACAATCAGCGATTTTTCACAAATTTTTGTGAAATGATGATTGCGACTCATAGAAAGCAAAATTTACAGGTTTTATATTTCAAACGCATACTTTGTAACCTCTTCTTGTAAGTTACAAGTAAAACATACCATCATACCATCTTTTGGTTTTATTATTCCGAAAAACATTATTTTAGCTGAAATGAGTATTTGCAACCTTGGACCTAGGCACCTCTAGGCACTAGAGTAAAATCAAAAAAGGCGTTTGTTCCGAATGCCAAAATAAGCGCGTTGGCCAAGTTTGGCTCAAATCGGTGACATCGATCACAACTTTTTAAAATTCTGTACCCACTTGAGCTGGAATGACCCATATTCGACTTGATACTTGATGCAGTATTACAATCCATTGAATCATCGACAAACGGAGAATGGAGGAATTCTCCACTGGACTCGGTTGTCCTGGGTCAATCCCTTTCAGTCGCCCTAGAGTGGTCGTGTTTGACAATATCCGTTATTTAGTTGATACAAGCCGTGATGTAACCCCACCAGATTCCATTTCGTAGCTTACCGTCGAGTAGGGTCAGGTGGGGCAAGAGTGCCACCTCCAATAATTTCCAAAATGAACATGATTTCAATGCTAGCTCACCCATGAAACTATGGATGGTGTTCCTATGCAGCATTATAAAAAGTTCTGTTCAAAATGAAGTCTTACAAAAATTGCAATAAACTATTTTGTACTGATGTGTCGATAATCGAAACTATTTATAATATAATTGGACATGATAAAATAAGGATTTTCGAATTTCCAAACATGTTTTTCAACAATTCCTGCAATAACAATTAATGGCTAAATATTTTCTAAAATTCGTCTAAAATCACCTTCTTAAAAACGAACCTCACACGGGGCAAGAGTGCCACCCCTATAGTTATGATTAAATGTATACAAAATTGTCAAAGAAATTGCTTCGTTGTGTATATTCTGTAATCTTGTTTCCACTAAATTTGACAAAACCAGCTACATAAACTATCATCAAAAATACTTATCATTAGAATTCATTGGTAAACATGGTTTATTTGGAATGTATTGGATAATATTGTCAAATTCAAGAGCTGAATTGAGTAAACAATAACAGCTGTTGCTAGCATGAATAATAATCAAAAGGCTATGTTTATAAACAAGCTTTAATCGACTTCAGTTTATTTAAGACGCATGGTCCTTTTGCACCATAGGGGTTGGCTCTCTTGCCCTATTGCAGTTTCAAAAAAATATTTGAGATGACATTTTGAGAAAAAGTCGTTCACAACTTTTGAAGAGATTTAATTTGCACTACATTGCTGATTTAATGAAGTCCATGTTATGAACTCCTATAAACCAATGCCAACATTTCAAAGTGGCGTAATTGCTTTTGCAAACAATGGCTTTAGCCGTCGATTTCTCGCAAATAAAAGCTTACTCTTCCAAATTAACAATGATTGCTGGTATAGGAAACATTCCTATACCTGTTGGTGTAATTAGTTTTCATGAGTGAGCTTTTATTTGCGAGAAATCGACGGTTAAAGCCATTGTTTTCAAATGCAATTACGCCCCTTGGAAATGTTGGCACTGAAATCTAGAGAGACCAGATTTCTATGAAAATAAGGTACGCTTACACAAACCAACATATCCATCGGATAGGGGAAGTCTTCCCCTACTCGATAATTCCAGTTCTATCTAGAAACATCCACTATTTACCACAGCTAGAACGTACAATTGTTAACGTGGCACTCTTGCCCCACCAAACCTTACTTTTTGCTCGACAACTCCGAAAGCTTTTTGCCCAGCCTTCAAGACGAATCAATTGTGAATCTGTAGGAATTTATTGAAGATTCGACGCAAGGCAAACATTTGGTACGTCGTTGATCGGTTCTCAAGAAAAGCAGCCTAGTACTGGCTGACAAAGAACTCCTCAAGCGGTCTCGGTCTGCACTGAAAATGAAACTAACTCAGAGAGTGAGTCAATATTAATCAGTTGTGAGTAGACCTGTGCGCCGATCAAAATATTTTCGGCAGCGGCGTGATATGCTGTTTTCTGCCGGCGGTGTGGCCAACATGCTACCCACATTTTAGTTCAGATTACTCAAAATCCCTAAAACTTAGGTCACTCATAGTATGAGTAAATTTTCGGACACTTTCCTGGGCAAAACTTCTCGAGTATGGGGATTTTTTTTTAGAAAATTGTACACAGGTTAGAAGTGTACTAGTAGACAGACTAAATCCACAATCAGTTTTCCTCGGAAAAGCGTCGGAAAATTTACTTATTCTATGACTGACCTACGTTTTCGCGAATTTGAGTAACACTCATATATGAGTTCCTCTACTCAATTTTGAGCCGTTTTCATTGGCCGTGCATGCGGAATTTGTTTAGAAAAGTATGTCAAGTTTTTATAAAATGGCCGAGGGCGGATTCATATGGCAAAGTGTTACAACCCTTTTAATAAGTATAAGAAATGTACGTTATGTAGGGGTGGATAGTATTTATAAACAATCTGTTGCATAACGTAACATTTTAATGGGTTCAAGGAATTCTTTCATTTATTGAGCATTACACGTTATTAATATGTTGATAGCGATAAATTATATGCTTTTATTACTTTGATACATAGTTGAATCGACACGCATTGTAGTCATATAACTTTTTGTTTATGTATTTGAAGATGTTGTCTTTCGGATTTACGTAGAATCCCGCACAAGTTGTAAGAGATTTAAAAAAAACTTATTATTCACCTTTATATATCCGATCCTCGTCAGACTGCTTACTGCAAAACTCTATTTTTGCAAATGCTGTAATTGTCATGAATGAAGATTGTTTTATCCACATAGTTAGAGTGGATGCTTGACCGACGTGCAGATACGGTCAGCCCAGCGTTGTTAAAAATTCGTTCCCTTGGCCAAGGATACTGCAGCTTTCTAATTTTCCAAAAGCATAGAATATCTCCATCTACAACGTTGTTCGGGTATGACGTAATGCGCAGGATCTATGAATGAGGCGGAGAGAAACTCTAGTCCACTGTTTCATTCATCCGGTGTTTTCGTCGGGTCGAGGTTTCCTTCTGCCTCACCTATAGATCTCGCTCATCGAGACGAAACCACTAAACTGAGATTTTTGACGTTTGATCAGCGCACCAAAACACTATCTCGAACAAGTGCGAGCAGGAGGAAAAATAATGATTCATCCACGGGACTGATTTCAAATGTTTCCACTAAGGCTGTGAACCATTTGCCGAGTTAAATTTAACTCGTAGTTAAAAGTGACATTTCGAAAGTTATTTTTTATGTTCGAAAATCCCCGGGCTGTCGATCGACCGGTTTTCGAGCCACGGTCGTCAAAATTTAACTTCTTGTCTGTCAGAAGTAACCACGCTCGGATAGCAGGGTTAATCGATAACTTTTAATCTGTCAAATTTTAACCAAAAGTTAAAATAATCCACCAAATGGTTCAGAGCCTAAGAGGTTTCACAAATTCGACAGTACACTCTTAACTGGTCTACAGATTTATGGCCCATAAAAAACATGCGAACTTAGCGGCTGTATTGCATATTTTACAGCTGTCGCTTACACCGCATGTGTTTGTTTTACGTTGGTTTTAAGTGTGTGAGTAAAAAATAGCAGACAACAGCAAAATGCTTGCTTAGCAGCCCCTTGGATTCATCCCTGAGTGCTAGATAGAGAAAGTGCACGTCAAAAAACTAAATGACAATCGCTGCCTCATACACGCTCCTTTTTTGGTCTCGGAGGTTACTCAAAAATGAGTCAGACGTACTCATTTTCATAACTACTTTTGAAACGTCAAATCATGAGTGTTTGTATGAACAACGAAATGGCCAGTGTGTTTACGAAAATACAGCACAGTTTCACGACGAACAGCTCCGATCATCCCGGTCTTGGTAGGTCAGATGTTTTGACATAAGTTCGTAGTCAGCTGTTCTCTCATTTTCAACGCAGTATCCATTGCCCTGGTTTGGGCAAGGGGTAAGTCACTCTGTCACATTGTGTTAACACTCGCAAAAACACACTTAAAACACCATTACGTCGCATTATAAGCATTGTTTTATTTCAATTCCGGCACCACTGCAAATACTGTTTACATTCGATTGTTATTTTGTTGTTGAGAAACAAAAACGAGCAAAAACCGTCGTACCATCCTGCCGGGAAAGAAAAACATTCTGGATCTGGATTGAAATCCAAAGAAAAGAAAATCCGAAACCGGTTGGGATCCACGAAAGCAGCAGCATCAGGAGGAACAGATGCTAAAAAAGTAAATGTCTCGCAAGAAAACCAAGACAAACGCAACGGAACAGTTCCTCATTGTAAATCGTAGGTTCTCACCAGCAGCAG